ACTTGTCTGTCACTCTATAATTAAATGTTTACACGGTTGTTAGAGCTTTGATCCAAGCATTTGAGTCATTATCCAAGTTGCATTTCTATTTATGGCACAAAGTTACCATTCCATTCTTGAAAAGTTGCTTTAATCACAAAGTCAACTTGTCTTGAGCTTCTAAATTGTTCTTTCTGCACACACAACCCCTATAAACCAAAAGCAATGTGTTTAAGGCCTCTTGGAACTCAGAACATGCTTGTACAATACTTGGAGATTTGTCTTTTCACTTTTCTTCAAAAGCAAGTTATAGAGCCAAAAGGCTAAAACTTAGAAGTCTTGAGTGAATTTGATCCAAAACCTTTTCCATACATATACACAAGTCTATTGCAAGCAAAGGCACAATTTGAAACACTCCCAAACTCCCTGAAAACTCAGATTGCACAAAAAACTCCATTGTTGTGTATGACCTGACCAAAAACTCCCATCTCTCAAATCACTCGTGTGTTTCCTCTCCAAATCATATCAAAAGCTTCCTTACTTCAAATACAACTTATCCCAATTTATGTTGCTAAACTGTAACACCATTTTCACTATTGTCCAAGCTCAAAAACAGGGGCCTACAACTGGACTTCTCCAGGACATTTCAGCCACTCTCAACTCAAGCTAAGCATTGCATTAGCTTCTTAGAGACTCAAGGAAGCTAACCTGGTCATTGCAGCACCTTGAATCAAGCTCAAACTCATTTCACGATTTCCAGTTTTGAGGTATTTTTCTTGAACTTCTATCTTCTCATTTAGGCATTGTTAGGCTTGCATTTGTGAAGATAAAATGTAGACATCATTGCCCTGAAACTATACGTGTCCATAGATTTCATTTTTGTTGCTTGAGTAGGGAGAATTTTGAGTTTAAAACTCTGAAAATATTTAGTTCAGAATTTGGTACTGTTAGAAATTCATGTTCATCTTTGAGAATTAGCTTAAGTTATTTACATATTCAGAATCGTGAGGAAATTTCTAACAAGTTTGATGTTGGAAGTTTTGTGAATGGATGAGAAAAGAATGAGTTACAGATTCTCTGGCTAGAGGTTGAAGATGAAGTTCATTCAGGACTTGATTTATGTTACATATTTATTGTTTTGTTTATATCAATGGATGTATAGCCACCCCGGTGGTAAAGCGCGCGCCTATTAACCGTTGGGACCTGGGTTCGAGCCCCAGTGGTACTCTTTTGCTTTTTTCACATTTTTCTATTTTTTATTTGAAACAGGTGCCCGAGTCTCTCCATTAGGTTTTATTGTTTTTTTTGCTTCTTCTAACCTCCTGACTACTTCTGCACAGGGGGCTTATTTTCTCTTATTATTTTCTTTTTTTCTTATTCTATTTTATTTCTTTTTTTATTTATATTTTTATTATTATTATTATTACTATTAATAAAAAAATATGAAAATATTTTTGTTTATTATTACACTTATTTATTTTATTATCTTCATAAAACAAAAAGACAAAAAAAAAGCATTTTTCTTAATAAATTTAATTTTTTTCTTAAATAATTAATATTTAAATAATTAGGTTTAATTATTATATTATCCTCTTGTAAATTAAAATTAATTTAGAATTTAGGTTTATTTTAATTGATTAACTTTTATTTTATTTTTATTAATATAAAACTTTTTTCATAAAAATCCTAAAAATATTTTTTAAGTCAATTTCTTTTCTTAATTAGTTTAAGTTAATTTTATTTAATTTTAATTAATCCTCTCTCTTAATTAGGTTAAAACCCTTTCGTGAAAGCCAAACAAAATCATTTCTTTATCCATTTGCATTTTTGCATTTTTTTCAATTCTTGTACATTTATTCAATATGGTTGTAATAGATAAATTAGGTTTAATTTTTCTTGCAAAATTCTCATTTGTAAATTTGTATACCCCCTCCCATATGATGTAATAGCTTAATATTTTTACTTTCCGCAATTTAGCGCTTTATATAAATGCTAGTAATTAGGATTTGTATGGAAAGATAAAATCAACAAGTTAACAAACCCTAATTCAAGATAAACATGCATGTAAATCAACTCATTTGCACACTTGCACCCTTAGGGTAATTCCACTTTATTGCCTTACAAAAATGGTCATGTTATGCATGTGGGATATCTTAGCAAAAAATAATCAAAAATACAAGATCATAGTCCCTCGATGACGCTATCAATGTTGCCTTTCAAAAATGATCTTAGTTCCTCAAAGAGAAATGCTAAGATATCTCACAACATTGCTATCTGACTATACGATGACCCATGCCCGTCCCTTTACATCTAAAGATAAGGTTTTTTTACCAATCAATAGTAAGACATCAATATCAAAAGAAAGGAAGAAATGAACTAAGACTTTTGAGTAGGTAGATTGTTCCTAGTTGCTTGCTCACTTTCAAATCAAACATCCTTGCTCATTTTCAAAACAAATACCAAACACTTTCAAAATATTTTCTAAACATGAAACATTTTAAAAGATCAACACTTTGTATATGTTCTTACGAACGAGAACTATTACGAAGTTTTCCTAAACGATGGCGCCTTTTCAAAATACTTTCAAAAACCACACAAAGCACATTTTCAAACAAAAGCAAGTGATCTAGCAAACAACTAAGAGCCCATAGATAACTATGGATAAAAAGGGTGCTAATACATTCCCTTTTCATAATCTACCCCCCGAACTCAAGAAATAATCTCAAAGGTCTTTCCTGTTCTTTTCAGCCTTTCCTTTTGGATAAAAGAAAAGTCAGTGACGACTCTTGTTAACCGCAACATTTGCGATAAAACGCAAAACACCCAAGTCAGTTCTTCCACCGTATCACATGAGAAATAATGTGATTGGACCATTTAGAGTGCATATTGATCGTCGTGTACCTGATGATTTGCTTCTTCCCATATGGAAGTCACCGCGAGACGCGTCTGGTGGACGTAATTTTCTTATATTTTGGATGGTTGACATGTGGATCACTCTTATGTGTATCCTTATCTGCCCGAGCGAGTGATCCGATAATTTAGCTATTTGCAGATTATTTTGAGATCCCCTTCAGCGTCCGCTCCTCCCATCATTCGCCTCAGAGATCTTGATGTGATACTGTTAAATTTTGAGAGTCATTTGATATCAGAGTAATATTGCATGATGCTAGTTCCTTTTAAGTGGACTTATGTTGATGACTACATGATGTGGTTCTATAGCGTGTCACACGCTATCATGACACCGGGCGCTCCTTGAAGACCACATAAGCCAACTACTCATGAGGTACTTGAGACTAGGGACGACCACACTGAAGATGTGTCAAAAAATATGTGTATTGTAGAGATGGGAAAATCAAACATAGAGGCATGACTCTTTGAGGATGACAGTCCCCAATTGACCCCCATAAAATGCATGATTGTCAAGGCACAGAATACCTTGTAATATAGGAAGAGCAGATGACGGAGGATTAGACATACCAAATAGATTTTTGTTTGATTTATTAAGTTATGTTTTTGGAACAACTTATTATATGTTTTTTTTCATAAGTGACTCCTATGTTTGAATCAATTAACGCATGCATTTTCTTCTAATTCATGAACTAAAATGACCTAAAATATCCTGGACTTAATGACCTAAAATATATATGCCTCAAAAAATATCAAATTTAGTGAATAAGAATACAATAATTAACTACATAGGATAATTCAAAAATACATCTCTAGATACTTCCATATAATATATGGAGATGCATCTTTAGACCATCTTTTCTTCAAAATGTGGTGAATTTTAGAAACAAATTTCAAATTTTCAGAGATGTGGATCCGGAAATAGCTTTTTTCCCCCAATGAGGAATGAATATCGTCAAAAGTATCGGTCATTTCAACATTTGCATCTATAAAATAACAACTTCAAACCCATGCGTTTTTTTAAATAAAAAAAATCTCAACTTGCTTCGGACACAGATCCTATCCCGTGACTGCGGGTGCAGTGAGATCTCAACCATAAAAGTTAATGCTAAAAATAAAACAAGGAAATATGTATTGGATTTTAAAGGATGGGATTTAAAGTGCACAGAATCCGGTGGACATTCCAGTGGAGATAATCCTCTCCCAACTTGCTTGCTTCGCATCGTGTTCTTAAGATGTGGTTAGCGTTTGAACCTTCACTCTTGCTGTTCATGACTTTGGTCGGTATCAATTATCAAGTTATCAATCAAATTTCATTTTTTTTTTTTTTTTTGAGAATTATGAAAGAAAAATAATGGCAGATTTTTTATTTTTAAGAATTATGAAAGAAAAATAATGGTGTCCCGTCATCAATGTTTTTTACATTTCATTTCCCAGGCGCCATATGATATTGTTAACGACCAGCACAGCTCCAATTTAACAGAATAATTACAAAATTAAATTGAACCAAAATGACTGAGTAAATGATAAATAACCAAAATTATATTTAGTCATAAGCATTGCAAAGTTTAATATTTTCATACCAATCATTCAAAAATAAAAAAAAAGTCACATAACTAAATTCATCCATTCTACCAAAATTGAGACAATGCCTTGCCTGCAAATAGTTTTAAAGAGCAACCCGCCAGAGGAAGGAAGTGGAAGACAGTTGAAGTATTTCCAGGCAGCAAACCAGCCCTTGATTTTTTGACACTATGAAAAATGCACTGCATAATCAGAAGTGAAGTTGAAGTTAATTATCCTCTTCCACATCCATTTCATTATCAGCCAGAATTAAAAGAAATTGCATGAAAATGGAAATATTCATAAGATAAACTTCAACCAAGTAGGTAATAGAGTTTTACATTAACACTAATAGAACAATCTTAAGCAAAGACCCTTTCATAAGATATAACGTACTACAGGGTGCCTAAAACATGATAATTAGAGGGATATAAAAGGTCCAAGATAACTACTAAACATTAAAGACAAAACAGCAAACTAAATAAAGTAAATTATGAATGAAAAAGAAATGGCATTACATGTTAAACAAAATCACAAAATGATGACATCATCTATTCTTCTTGAGCATCTTTGTTTTTCTTTTTCTTGTGCTTCTTTTCACTTCTATCTGCGCTGCCTTGATCCTTTCCGTTAATGATATCTGCAGCATCATCTTTGTCTTTCTTCTTCTTCTTCTTCTTCTCAAATTTCTCCACTTCAGGTGAAGCTTCTTCAACCTTTTCCTTTTGCTTCTTTTTCTTTTTCTCGGACTTGTCCGCTTCAGAAGAACCATCGTCACCTTTATCCTTGTTCTTCTTTTTCTTCTCCTTTACAACTTTCTCCTCATCAGAAGATGCCGCATCATCATTCTCCTTATCCTTCTTCTTTTTCTTTTTCTTCTTTTCTTTCTTATCTTCTTCAACATCCACAGCAGCTTCATCTACGTTAACGGTCTTCACTTTTTCTTCATCTTCAACTTCAGCAACTTTGGACTTCTTAGCAGGAGCAGGACTATCGGCATCTTCATGTATCTTTCTCTTACGCCCTTCTCCATCCTCAGCAACCACTTTCTTCCCATCTTCAGTTTCAGTAGCAGCAGCCTTCGCAGCAATCGCACTGTCCCAACCAGCAGGCAGTACCTCCACATTTCTCACCCACTCTTCAGGAGTATGAGCGTTTGGCTTCCCATGCTTATCAAGCTTCCCTAGAGCAATCAGCTTCTTCTTTGTAGAAGCCCTAGGACCCAAACCCCATTTCCTCGGATAAGTATCCCTATCCATAACCACCCTCTTGATCTTAGCAACAACACCATGATCACAACTGGCCATAACAGCAGTAGTCATCTCAGCAATCCCAAGAGCAATAGCTTCACCCTTGGTGGTCATAAGCACGACCTCCTCACCAGCATCAATATCATTCTCAAACCTAAGCAAACCTGGAATCATCAACTTAGCCCCATAACAAATAGCATTAACAGCAGAATCCTTAACAACCAATCTCTTATAACTAGTCAAAAGAACTTCCAAAGGCATAACAACCCTCCTCAGATAAGTTTCATCGCGATTATTATCGTAAACCCATTGAGCATCCATTACATCATGCATAGAAACCATATTATCTTTCTCACCCATAATCCCAGACCTAACCCTCCTAAGCTCTTGCATATGACTACCAACACCAAGCAACAAACCCAAATGAACACACATAGTCCTAACATAAGTACCAGCCTCACACGAAATCCAAAAAACAACTAAATGTCTGTCAGCATCATATTCAAGCATCTTACTTTCATAAACAGTTCTAATCCTAAGTTGACGCTTAACAGCAGAAATCAAAGGTGGCCTTTGAAAAACAGCACCAGTTAGGGTTTCAAGAGCACGAGCTACCTTAGCAACATCAGGAACAGCGGAATGAAGTCTCGCAATACAAACATACTCTTTCCCAGCACCCTGTTGAGACTTCACAAGCCTTGTCGCTCTGTCAATGCAAACAATCAAATTCCCAGTAACTTTGGGATCGAGAGTACCGCTGTGACCGGTCTTTTCGACACGGAGAATCCGCTTGATCCAAGCAACAACTTCGTGAGAAGAAGGGTTTGCCGGCTTATCAAGGTTGAGGACACCGTATTTGAGGTAATCGTTGAGTGGCCGTTTGAGCGGAGAGTGACCGGCGGGGAGAGGAGTGTAGTGACCGGTTCGGATGTTGAGGCGGTCGTAGTTCTTGAGGAGTATCGGCCACTCTGATGTGTCGATTGATGATGCTCGGGTGCTTGGTTTGATCATGAAGTCTGGTTGCTTTTGTTGCTCCGTTGATTCGTCTTCTTCTGCTCCTCCATTTTTGTTGCGGTTCTTCTTCTTCTTGGATTCGGTTAGGGAGGGAGATATCGCGGTGGATAGCGTCATGGCCTCGCCGTTGAAATGGGGTTTAGACAGTGAGCTAGGGTTTTAGGGAAGAGGCACAAGAGTGAGCGTTTTATGTGCTACAAATAATACCGCTCTTTTTTGTTTTTGGAAATGAAACCCTACTTTTTGTTGGGCTCAGTGTTTGAACTATTTTGGGCTTCCCTTTTTCTCTCTCAAAATGATTTTTTGCACCCATATTTTGCTACTATAACTTAAGTTCTATTTATGGTTTAGTCTTGTTTGGAATTGATATATTGATCGTTTATGATTTTACTAGCACGTTAAACTATTTATATCGTACTAACATTTTTAACGACCTAGATAATAGTGATACTTTGTTGAAAATGACCTTGATAGTAGTGATATTTTGCTGAATCAAAATAAGTGGTGCACGAAATGTTTCTGAATCAAAATGATTCAGGGTAAATGAAGGCATCATATTTGGTGTATTGGTCAAAAAGTACATGTATGTGATATCTTTGTAAGGGTAAGATATACTCAGAGGCCTTAGTAAATTTATAACAACTTGGAATGGTTAGGGCTTGCTTGCGGCGACGAGAGACCATGTTTAATGATGTTATGGTATTTATGATCATATGAGAGACCCACTCACGTGAGGTTAGAGGCATTGTACACAAGTGTGTTGTTTTAGATATTTTGTGTAGCGTATGAGATGTCTTCTCCCATTAGGGGGAAAGGTATTTATAGAGACCTTTGGACCTAGGGTTTCTTTGGGAAGGATCTTTGTCCATTAATCCAATAGTGGACCATTGAATTCCAATTTCTTAGGGAAGACGTGGATCAGTTACTAACCTTGAATTTTCTCTGACCAAGACACGTATTTTCCCACGTTTCTCATAATTGGGTGATTGGAAGGTACTTGGGGAGAGACGATACCTCCTTGAGGGAGACACATGGTCGTCGCCTCTCCTAGGGGCTGTAATTTCTAGGGCGGTTTCATGCTCTCACATACACCGCATCATTGGAGCTGCTCTCTCTATTGTATAAAGTTTTCCTACGAGACTGGTGTATGTGGTTTCCTGCTTTCGAACCTTTCTTATTTCCTTTTCTTCTTATGGGAGTTCATCATTTTGCATGTATCGTAGTATGGGTGACACCCAATTGGATTCAATGACAACTTCCATGGAGTAAACTTTACCCGCCTTAATGCTTGGGACAACGAGAGTCTCCTGGGTCACTTTCTCGATAAACCCCACTATTTTCAAACTGGCGAGCTTGGACAATAGGTTTGCCATGAAGTTCGGCTTGCGAGGAACATGTTCTAATTCAAAAGATGTAAAACGATAGGGTAAACTTCGTACCTTGTGTAGATATCTTATAAATTGAGGTTATTTAGCCTAATATTGTCTGTAGACTTGGTTAGCAACCAATTATGAGTCGTTTTTGGCTTTCACTCAAGAGGGTCTCATTCCTAGGGTGAGGACCATGCTGGCGATGAGAGCTTCATACTCTGCTTGATTGTTTCTAGCCTTGAACTAAAACTTTAGTGTTTGCTCGATCAGCAAATGCATGGTCTTTGCAAGATTATTCATGCCCTGCTACCTTTTATATTTGAGGTGCCATCAATTGATAATGTCCATTATGGGATTGTCTCCTCGTCTACGGGTGAACTAAATTCTACCATAAAATCAGCCAGAGCATGTGATTAGATGCTCCCTCTTAGAATGTATTGTATATCATATTTTGATAGTTCTACAGCCAATGACAACATCCTTCCTACAAGATCTGGATTTTTCAAGACCGCAAATATGATAGTTGGTTTACATGAATATCTTGTGCCCTTGGAAATAGGGTAGTAGCTTCCTCGATGTGATGACGACAATCAGTGCCAACTTCTCAATTTTTTGATATCATGCTTAGGCGCCTCTGAACACCTTTCTTATGAAATACATATGTCTTTCAGCTTTATTTGTCTCCTCTATGAGTATTAAGTTCATTATATGATCTGTGACAAAGAGGTAGATGTCAAAGAGGTTGAAGATTTGAGAAAAAAGCCCCGAAACCTTGCTGAAAATTCTCAAGAACCTGAAACTGTAGCCCAAACACAAAACTTGCTAATTTCTGGTTTTTGCATCCAAACTCTAATTTTTCTTGCGCATTTCTTGGCCAAATCACCCACAGAGTTTCTGATATACACTTAGAAACCGTCCCAACTTATGTTTTCATACTATAATACAATCTCCACCAATCTCCATTTCAAAAATCAAAACTTTGCTTCTTGGATGCTCTAGAACATTCCAGCCATCCATAACTCAAGTTGAGGGTTGCTTTAGATTTCTGAGAATGTGAGAAAGCTGATCAGAACATCACAGCAGTCAGAACCAGGCTCTAGTTCGCAGAACAATTTCTAGCTGCAAGGTGAGTTTCTTTTGACTTTTATCTCATTACTTAGGCATTGTTAGACTTGCATTTTCAAAAACACAATGTAGATATAATGGCTCTGATTCTCTACATATTTATAGATTTCATTTATATGGATTAAGTAGAGAGAATTTCAGATCATAACTTCTTGAGGAAATTAGGGTTCAGAATCAGGATTAGCAAAATTCATGCTTGCTGCTGGTTTACAGTTTTGATGCTTTGTATTTCTGAAATCATGATAAAATTTGCCATAACTGCTATGTTTGCATTTTCCATTTTTGTTGAGAAATGACTAAGTTTCAGATACTCTGGTTGGCATGGAGAAGGAGATGAAGTTCATCATCAGAACTTACTTTGTAATATATGTTTATGTTTTTGCTTCTAATACCGGATGTATAACCACCCCAAGGGTAGAGAGCGCACGCATAAGACACTAGTGTTAAGGGTCCAGGGTTCTAGCCCCAGAAACACCTTTTTATGTTTATTTCTTGACATTTTTACCCCATTATTTGTCAAACAATAACCCTGGACCAGAACTTCTAGATAAACCCCCTCCCATTTGTTTGTTAAAATAGTGATCCTGGACCAGAACTTCTAGATATTCCCACCCAACAGCATTGACACCTCACTTACCCTTTACCAGAACTTCTAGCCTTCCAGTAACACTAGAACTTTTAGGTTTCCAGTAGCATCATAACTTCTTGTCTCTCTCAACATCCAGAACTTCTAACCCTCTAGTAACACTAGAGTTTCTAGGCAATCATAACTTCTAGGCAATCAGAACTTCTAGACTTTCCTTTGTTCTCAGCGACCCCAGAACTTTAGTGCGTTCGGATCCAAAACTTCTGGCCTCCCCTGTTCCTGCTAATATTTTCTTTCTGACTTGCAGCGTACCTGAGTCAGAACTTATGTTCTCTATTATTTCAGCAACGTGATGATTCAGACTCTTTTTCTCTTTTTATTTTTATCATCACTTTTATTTTCATTAATCAAAAACACCAAAAATACTTTATATTCATACACTTTGTTTTATTTATTTTAAAATAAAAAGACTAAAAAAATATTTTCTTAAGCCAATTTATTTCTTCTCTTAACCAAAACAAAACAGATCTATTTTACATTTCAATTCTTATATATTATTTCAATATGGTTGTAATAGATAATTAGTACTTTAATTTCTTATGCAATCCCCATTTGTAAATTTGTACACCCCATCCCCAAATGATTGTAATAGCGTAGGATATTTACTTTCCGCAATTTATTGCTTTCATATAAATGCTAGTAATAAGGATTTGTATGGGAAGATAAAATCAATGCTTAGAAAAACACTAATTCAAAGATAAATCAAGCATGAAATACAAACACTTGCACACTTGCATCTCTAGGGTTAACTACACTTGTTGCCTTAAGAAAATGGTCATGATATGCATGTGAGACGTCTTAACAAAAATAATCAAAAATACAAGATCATAGTCCCTCGATAACGCTTCAAATATTTCCTTACAAATGATCTTAGTCCCTCAAGAGAAACGCTAAGATATCTCACAACATTGTTATCATGGCTATACAATGACCCACGTCTGTCCCTTTACATCCAATGATGGTTTTTTTACCAAATCAATGGTAAGATAGCAACATCTAAAGGAAGAGAAGAACAAAATACTTTTGAGTAGGTAGAAACGTTCTTAGTTGCTTGCTCGTTTTCAAAACAAACCTCTTTTCAAACACACCAACACTTCCCACAAACAATTTTCAAAAGTCCAACACTTTGTGTGCATTCTTATAGAGACAAGAATCATTACAAAGTTAGCCTAAACGAAGGCTCCTTTCAAAAATACTTTCAAAATCCACCACAAAGTATACTTTCAAACAAAAGCAATGATCTAGCAAGAAACTAAGAGCTTATAGATAACTATGGATGAAAAGGGTGCTAACACCTTCCCTTTTCATAATCTACCCCCGAACTCAAGAAAATAATCTCAAAGGTCTTTACTGTTCTTTTTACCCTTTTTTCTTTTATTGGATAAAAGAAAAGTTGGTGGCGACTTTTGCTATCCGCAATAAATGAGATCAAACGCAAAACATTCTAAGTCAGTTCTCCTACCGTGTTACACATACTGAGTTGGTTTTAATTTCCAAAAACAAAAAGTGATATGTGTTATACCCCAAAATTTTCCCTCTCTTTTCTCAAAGATTCTCTCACAAAAATCTCCATTGCTCAAAATTGTATAAGGTTTGATCAGCTCAAGACACTTCCTCAACACTGGGCTCAAATTAAGGTTTGGGTTTGGACAAGTACAATTGGACTTTTAATGCCCCATATAGTTTCCATGGATCATATTGGGATCTCAAGCATCAGGTCGAAGATGGAACTTCTGAATCCTCGAAAGGAGGAAGAGGAAATGTCGAAAGGGCAAAGCATATCGAAAGGTGTGCAGCTGCAGATAACACTTCAAATTCAAAATCTAGTTCAGGCTGTTCGAACCACATGACTGATCAAAAAGGAATGGTGGGCAGATTTTGACAAATCAAAGAAGAGCAAGCTTGCTTTGATCCACAAACTTCGATTGGGCAATGGCTTCCTTTGAGCAACTTGCTTAGATCCACCTCTAAACCTG